AGGGCTTGAGAAAGGCGAGGTTCAAACTTTATGTGTGCATGAAGTGGGAGGAAATAATGAGATAGGATAATAGCTCACAAAAGTCATAACTGTTTTTGAGAAAGGGAAGGTTCAATCCTGGCATCCCAGTGCTATAAGTGATCAGACACAACATGAAGAACACCATCCCAGCTCCTTCCTACTGGCTATACCTTGAGGGCTTCAGAGCTCTTCATACTTTGCATATGATGCAAATTCTGTGTGACCTTTCACAGGCATATTACTGATGAATGGCCTTTTCACTGTAACCAATAAGCTACCCACCAGTGCTTATGGTATCTCATCTTCCAACCACTAGGAACTGACCTTTGGGAGGATGGAATCAATGTCTATTTCAGATAAATGTGGCTTTGGGAGAGGTAATTCCAAGAAAACTATACAAGTCAGCCTCAGTCATACCGACTTACTGATCCAACTGGGCTGATTCTGCTAGCAAACATTATAGCTCTTAACCACAAGTAGAAGAAGAGTAGCACAACTGACAGAATGGAGTTATTTAGTACAGTGTGGAATCCAGAGACAGCATGCAATCTCCTTCTTTTGGCTCACCATCTCCCACACTGAGATGGAGTGAATGGTGTTCATTAACTGCAACTCTAGAAGCCGAAATGTTGTTCAACAAATATACTCAATGCTGATCCATAAGAAGGCAAGTCATGCTTCCAGTCAGGGTGTGGGTTTCTGACTTTACTTTTCATATTAAAAATTACAAAGTCAAAACCATTTTGTTTCAATAGTCATATGGATGGAAGGCAGCATTCTTCCTAATAAAGTGTGGCCACAAGTTGAATCAAACACTAGAATTTTGTGATAGGCGTGCCCTTTTCTAGGGCTTTAGATCTGGACAGAGAATCAGACATGACCCCTCTTCTCATGTTCTTCTCCTTGTATTTCAACATGTGGATGAGACCAGGCCGTTTATCCCTGACCACATATTGGGTAGAATGCAACAATGGCTGTATATGACTGCAGATCTCAAAAACCTGCACTGGTCCCACATATATAAACTTGTGTGCATGTGAGGCTCATTCTCTTTTTTGGTCCAACATGCAAAAATGTGTCTGGAGGGGGGTTAATTTGGAAATCTACCAAGACTGGAACCAGCCAGTATGATCTTGCTCCTTTTCTACCTGTTCAGTGGAAGTGTGGTAGATGAATAGCTTCTGTTTTTATTCTTATAAAATAGGGCTGTTAGTACATTGGTATCTATAGGTGCACTGTGATAATATATCATCACTGAAGGGTCATACTAGTGCTAATTAAATCAGAAGAGGAACTACTGAACAGAAAATAGGGAAAGTAAAAGATTAAGTAAAAGATTAAGCAATTGTGGAGATATGGCTCCAGATGTTTACCTTAGTTTCTCTAGTGGTTTTTTTCATAACTCACATACTCCTTGCATTGCTTTTATGAATGCCTGTGATGAGCAGTCACCACATCTGCATTCACCCAGAATGGTTTCCATAAAGCTAGATTTGGAGTGACTGTTATTGCCTTGTGTATATGCATGTGTGCACCTGCCTGGATCTGGCCTTTCAGTAGTGGAACAACTGAGAACACAATATAATTATCTCATTTTTTAAAAATCAAGTATCATAAGCTGGCAAATAACTGTCAGTTATTCAGTTTTGAGCTAGATGCATCATTGATTTGGTCCTACGAGGGTTATCAATTTCGACTGACTGGCTTATTTTCTTACTGTCATGGAATTTTGTTTGTTGCCCAGGGACATCATTCTGAAATAAAACCGTAACATCTTCAAAGAGGATGACAGAGACTACGCATTGTATATTAACTCCTAGTGCTACAACTATTACCATAAGACAAGGCTAGCTATACTGGGGGGCAAGAGGGTGTGCAGAGGGGGCATGGGTTTTACTTCAACTGGTTACAGAATATCAAGCTAGATTTGCTTTATGGGTTCACTGCTATAATATGAAGTAACCCCAGCAAACTTCAGTCAAACCTCTCCAGAGTACTGAAGGTAGAATAGGGGCTACTGTGTATAAATAGCTCTAGCTAAAATATAACAAAGACTTCATTGTACTCCAGAGTGTAGAGCCAATAAATGAATTCAAGAGACACTTAGATGTGTTTCTGGAAAAGGAGGGGCCTTAGTGGTCTGGTGGGAAAGCAGGAAGGTGGGATTAAGATAAATTAAAATGTGGTTGGCATTTTGGGCTGGATGGCCCCTTCCTGCTCCTATCATCTTGTACAGCTTTTAAAACAGGCTCAGCTACAAATCAGGATTTTACACTGAACAAACAAGTCTTGTACGTTGTGGGATTAGAGTGTCCCTCCAACATGAGAGCAAGGTTTTTTGAAAAAAAAAAGTTTATTTGCCACTAAGAATGTTTTTTTTCCAAAGTTGATCTTAACTCAGCACCTAAGTTTCTGTAAAGAAAGTATGAGTTTTAACAAGGGTTTAGGGATTTGAAGCAAGCTGTGAGTCTGAGTGCTTCCCCCCCCCCCCCCCCCCCCCCCCCCCCCCCCTCTCTCTCTCTCTCGCGCACACACACACACACACACACACACAGAGTATTGCAGACAACTAACATGAATCCAAGGATGCTCCAAAATTCACTTTGATAATGGTTTAAAACCAGGATTGTCAGTGTGAGTTTAAGAAGCATTATGGAAATAATTTTGACAGGAATTGTGAGTTCAGCACACACATTCCTGGAAAAGGAAGGTATTCAGTAGTCTAAACCAGGGACTGGGGGAATTCAAGCAAGGGAGGAACAAAGCGTTTGCAACCCCACAAGCAGACTCTTAACACTCTAGTTAAGTTTTACATTGGCAGAGTCTCTGTGGTTGCATTCAGGCAATTACGCATCTTTCATTATATATTATTCATTAAGCCAAGATATGCACAAACCTTTTGCCTGCGCCACAATTCCTTCCCAGTAAGCTGCAACTTGGCACGGAACTTTCTCATTAACTATAATTTCCACTTTTTCCTGAACTGAGAAACTATGATTGCCAAGCTTTGGAACGTGCCTGAATAGTAAACCAACTTCAAACTATGGTTCAATAGATTAACTTCTAAGTGAAACCATCATTTCCCAGTTTAGTTAATGAGACTTCCCAGTTTAATCACAGTTTATGATGGTAGAAGCAAAGGGGCTCAGTGTATGGGCAAAAGGCTCATGCCTGTCAGACTGCTGTGATCTGATTGTACAAATCAAGCCTATGCTGATCTCACTCAGTTACAAATCAAAACCTACTTAATAATAACTTCAAATGATGCTTTAAGAATGGTCAGATGGCTTTGGTTTTATTTTCCAAGCAATAATTTATTAAATATGATTTTAGCTACAATGTAAACTGCATTCTATCTTTGGCTCTGGCTGGCAGTTTAGACAGCTCGGGGCTGTAAGATGCAAGCAGAAACAAGGGCAGTGCAAGATCAAAAGGAAATCTTTTATCGAGCCTAATTAACACTCTGAATCACTGCATCAAGCCAATTTTCATGTTTGTTTTTAAGTATGGTAGAAAAGTCACAAGTGGAAAAATTAAGTAAAGAACACTGGTTAGCCACAAAACTGGACACACCTGGCTGCATAACCACCAAAAGAAACTGACTTCATTAATTCTAGGGGCAGTGGAGTAAAATTTATATATGAAATCTGCCTGCACCAGTAGAATTGCTGAGGCCAAAGGCTTTCTTTCTGTTTTTACAGCTGTGTCAAGTTTTGGTTCTCAGTCTTGCCAACAATCAAGAGTGCTAAAGGAACCCAGGTTAAAGGGTCCCCAAACCTTGCAGTTGAGATTCAAATTGCAACAATTTTAGCAGCTAGTCTATGAATTAATATACTGTTTTAAGTATAAATTTAGAGTGAAAATGCAGGGGGTTGCATTGGTTAAAACCACAATGTTCTTCCATCTGTAGTACCAGATGGCACATTCTAACATGAAACAAAGCTGCCAGATCCAAAAGAGATAATTTGAACATCTGTTTTCTCCATTAGGTGCACTAGCTATGTACAGCCAGCTATGAAAGCAGGTTGCAATAGTTCACCTGTTTCCACAAACTATTATCTCCCTTTCTTTTTTGTTTATTTTTCAAAGTGTTTCATTTAACTGTAAGCCTCTTTAACAAGTTCTTCATAAACCTTTCAATTAAAGAGTTTTTTGGTACAAGTATAATGTACAAGTATAATGTCATTTACACTGTTATATCTATCTTCTATAAAAACCAATTATTTGCTGCCTAATGACCACTTTATATTGCAGTGAAAAACTCAAAACTGTTAGATCTCAATTTCTGAAAGTTCAAAGTTCCTGTATTTTAAATTGGCAAATGTTAAGATGCAACCCTATGCATGTTTAGACAGTAAAAAGGCCTGCGACGTCAAACATGCCCCAACCAGCTCTTTATTGTTTCTTGAAAATAATAAAAAGTCTTAAGCAATATTAATATAAGTTCTGCTATCTGTATTTTTTCTATAGGAAGATTTAAAAAAATATAAAACTAATAATATTCTGTGCTTGTTCACATTGCACAACAGCCCACCATAGCTTAATATAGCTATGAGGTCTACAAAATTCCATCTAGAACTCATTATCCTTAATTTAGCTTAAATAATTTAATCATAACTAAATGAACCACATCCACTGTGGCTTTAAAATGTTATCTGTCCTCAGAAGAATCAATTAATTCAAAGCTTATCCTTCATGAACATTCATCTTTTTCTTTAGTCTTTACTAATCCTTAACACAATACAATTCCCTCTTGAAAGAATTTAGACAGGCTACATCCACAACAGGTTTTAGGTGGGCACTAAAAGCTCACTACCTTAACTCAGCCATTGTTCTGACTGTATCAACAGAAAAAGCCTAGATGGACCACTAAGACCATGGTTGGTCCCAACACCTTTCCAAAGCACTGGCCTTTTGATAAACTGAAACATAAGAAAAATCAACCGATAATCAAGGTGTACTAGATAATGTGTACTCACCCCCATGACTCTTCCACGTTGTTCAACATCTTCCCACATAGAATGAACTATATAGCGACACATATATTTCCCTGCTCGGCCCTCTTGCTTCATTCGTACTAAACACATCCTACAAGAAAGCAAACATATTTGCCTTAAATATTCTGGGAATCCTGAGTTTAACAGTACAGGGTATGAGAAGTATGTTGTTGTTATTAGTCGCGAAGTTGTGTCCGACCCATCGCGACCCCATGGACAACATTCCTCCAGGACTTCCTGTTCTCCACCATCCCCCGGAGTCCACTCAAGCTCACACCAACTGCTTCAGTGACTTCATCTAACCACCTCATTCTCTGCCGTCCCCTTCTTCTTTTGCCATCTATTGTTCCCAGCATTAGGCTCTTCTCCAGTGAATCCTTCCTTCTCATTAGGTGGCCAAAGTATTTGAGTTTCATCTTCAGGATCTGGCCTTCTAAAGAGCAGTCAGGGTTGATCTCCTCTAGGACTGACCGGTTTGATCGCCTTGCTGTCCAAGGGACTCGCAGGAGTCTTCTCCAGCACCACAATTCAAAGGCCTCAATTCTTCGGTGCTCAGCCTTCCTTATGGTCTAACTTTCGCAGCCATACATTGTAACTGGGAAAACCATAGCCTTGACTATACGCACTTTTGTTGGCAGGGTGATGTCTCTGCTTTTTAGTATGCTGCCTAGATTTGCCACGGCTTTCCTCCCAAGGAGCAAGCATCTTTTAATTTCTTGGCTGCAGTCCCCATCTGCGGTGATCTTGGAGCCCAGGAAAATAAAATCTGTCACTACCTCCATTTCTTCCCCATCTATTTGCCAGGAAGTGAGAGGACCGGATGCCATCATCTTAGTTGTCTTAATGTTGAGTTTCAAGCCAACTTTGCACTCTCCTCCTTCACCTGCATCAAGAGGCTCTTTAGTTCCTCTTCATTTTCTGCTATGAGAGTGGTACCATCTGAATATCTGAGGTTGTTGATATTTCTCCTGGCAATCTTAATTCCAACTGGTGATTCATCTAGGCCCGCCTTTCTTATGATGTGCTCTGCATATAAGTTAAATAGGCAGGGCGACAGTATATAGCCTTGCCGAACTCCTTTCTCAATTTTGAACCAATCAGTGGTTCTGTGCTCAGTTCTAACTGTTGCTTCTTGACCCACACATATGTTTCTCAAGAGACAAATAAGATGGTCAGGTACTCCCATCTCTTTAAGAACTTGCCACAATTTGTTTGTGATCCACACAATACGAGACGTATACACAGGAAGATAAGAAAGAAATATGGTTGACACATGCCCATGGTAATAAAGCAGGTCATATCCAGTGCCCTAACTTTAGGTGCAGTCTCACTTCTGTGGTGGCTTTCTGTCAAAGCAACTGGATGAGCAAAACATGGGCAGAAACTAACAGTGGACTCTTCTGCATGTTAACTTGGAAGGAAGCACCACTGTTTTCAAATGACACTTATTCACATGTAAGTGTGCATACAATTGCAGCCTCAATGGAACTTATTTCCAATTAGACATATGCTATTTCCAAGTAGGCCATGATGTTTCACTTGCTTAAAAAACTTCTGCATCAAATGCTCTCGAATCTGTTCCAAAATCAAATCCTGTGCTCAGAAAGCAAAGCCTCAAAAATTAAATCCTAATGCAAATCAATATATAAAAATATAATTATTCTGTAGGTTTTATTCTGAATTTAGAAACTTAAGAATATTTGTAAAACTGGGACATGTGGTAGCAGAGGAAGAGGTATATTTAAGCAGGCCACAGTCAGAACGTTGCATGAGTAGGGGAAACTAACTGGAGAGTATGAGGACAGGTATTTTCTCTACTTGATCCATCTGCTAACTTCAGACATTTCCAAAGTTATTTCCATGTGGACTAAGACAACAAAAATCCTCACATTTGCACACAGAAACTGAAACAAAAAGCTTGTGAAAAAGGTTATTTTCAGAGAAAGAAGAAAAATGTCTGGCTCTGGCATGTCATATTTAATTCTACTTTGATCACTTATTGTTGTGCTTCCTTACCCACATATATGGTACCTAGCACAAGTTCAGCGTAACTTCACCGGGCATCCATAGCCAGCACAAATATTGCATTGTTTCTTTCCCATTCACCATTCTCAAAAGAATCTTTTCAACAGTTTCAAGGACCATGAACTTATAAGGACAGGGACCTGTAATGTTAAGGTTATTAAACTTTTGTCAAATACCATGTGCCCTATGGGTGCTATATGAACTATAAGTAAGGAACAAACAGACTGTAAGTTATCACTTACAGAGTAAGAAACTATGTTTTTCAGGTTGTACTTAGCCCAATGCTTGAAAGGCTGCTATGTATTTGGATGCATAGTGCTGTCACAGAGCAGTTTAGCAGCACCCTGAGTGAGGTCATGGAATCTAGAGTTTATTTTTCAAAAAACAGTACCTCGTTTACTACAACTGCCACTTGAGGTTAAAATGACAGATTTTCTAACTATATCAACACAGCTGCAAAACCTTTTATTGTTTTATATTAAGTCCATGTTTAATATTCAATTATCCAACTGCCAAGCTATCTTTGATTGTAGACAAGTTCTGCTTTAGAGATGTATTAATTTTTGGGACAAACAGGATTCACAACATTATTTAAAAATATGTCTTAGAAACTTTACTGATCAAGTTTGTTCTACTGAATTACCATTGCTATGTATTTTTTCCAAATTCAAAATATATGTATGTGTGCAACTAGTTCACTCTTCCTAGTTTACCATTTTATCATCTACTGGTGGACTGAAAACATTATTTGTTACACCTGAAACCCAACTTACATTTATGGATGGGGCTGTAGCTTAGGGAAAGCCTGTAGCTCAATGGCAAAGTACATCTTTGTGTGCACAGGATCCCAGGTCCAATTACTGGCTTCCCCAGGTAGGAGAAGAAAAGAGTTTGGTCTGAAACCCTATAGGTTTAATGCTGTCAGTGCTGGGTTAGATGTGTGAAGTGTTTGACCCTGCAAAAGGCATCTTCTGTGTTGGAAAAGGAAGCTAACTTGGGTCTTCCAGACTGAGTAGATCCAGTCCTGATTAGCCTCTATAAGGTTGTTGCATCATGTGCCTTCTGAACATTCCCTAGTCTTTAAGTTTGCAAGTCTAAGATCTAGAGTCAATATTAAGTATTTTTTATATTTTGTAGTAATGTTTTATTTCTTTTTTTATTACTACCCTGTGCCCTCCTAACCTATAGGTGTAGATAGAAATGCTACTAATTATGCTACAAAATGAAACCACAGCAATGGGAAACATTATTCAACTGTGGAAACACTTTAAACCAAGAATACAACTGTTGATCCCACTACAATTAAACACACTCCAGTCCTTAGATAGATGCTTATGCTAGCATGAGAGTGGAGACAGCATTGCATCTGTGTACAACAGAAGCATTCGCTCTAATACGTTCTCCAACCTTGCAAACCAATCATCCCTGTATAAAACAACCTGCACATAGAAGGCAAACCCACCTCTGTGATCATGGGCATTGTTGTATAATAAGGGCTGGATTTATAAATGGAGTTAGTAGATACTGCCTTGGTGCTCACATAATCATTCCCGTCTGTTCATAGGTCTTTTTTCTGTCTCATAGAAATCACTTAGGGTGTAATCTTGCACATGCTCAGACCCAAAAAGCCCTACAATTCCTAGCATTCTCCAGCCAAACAACAGTTCAGTGATGAAGCACATGCTTTTCACATCAAAAGGTCCTAGTTTCAGTCCCTCACATATCTGGTAGCAAGGCTGCCTCAGAATTTGCAGAATCATTATCAGTTGGAGTATACAAGCCTGAATAGCATTGTTCCCCAGATCATGCCTATTTATCTGTCTCTTCTCATTTCTCCTTGTTTTTTAAATGTCCCACTGGTGAACTTTCATAATGCCATGCTTTTGTGGCACTTTTAATTCATTTTATATATTCTAATTGCCTCATTTTCTCTATCCCTCTTAGATTTACACTGAACCTGACAAGGATTGTTTGCCTCAATTCATTGTGCAAAGGTCGGTATTGTTTGAGAACTATATACATTAAAAAAAAGAAAATAAATGAGTAATGGGAAAACATTTTCTTATCTAAACAGCATAAATTTGCAAGCATCCAAAGGTATTATTAGGTCTCAATGAGACATAAAAAGGAGTCACACCCATTTTTCCATTGGCTTTTTAGATGTGTGACGATGAATAAGCCTGTGTATAAGTATGAAGTTTGCACAGTGGATTTGGTGTCAAACAATGGCTTTGCTTGCATCCTACACCCACTTAGCTGAGAGTAAGCACCATTAATTCAATAGAACTTAATGCCAAATATATAGGTATAGGACTGTACTGTTAGATGTGTAAGTCCACACAAAATCTGTAGCACATTAGTCACAATGGCCGGTACAGAAAACACATCCCCTCACCAAGCTGCAGCCTTCAGGGAGATTAAAAACCACAGTAAAGATTACTGTTTGGTACATCTTTCCATTTAGTAACTCTTTAAAAAATGGAAATAGCATCAGTAGGTGAGAGGGCTGTTAATTATTCAAACTGTGACAGGCATGGAGAGAAATATACTCCCTTGCTCCTCTGCTACAGTTGAGGAAAATCCTCCTTATGCATAGCTGAATTTAATGGTAGGTCTAGCTTGTCCCTCAGATACCTTTGGTTCCTAACACATCTGCCTGAAGCAAATTAATATACACATTGCCAGGTATGTGTCCAAAACAAACAAATTATACTTACTCAAAGGTGAGTCTGTTCAACCACTTCTCAACTATCTCTTCAACTAGTGGCAATGATGTATAAAAAACAAGTTTAACTTTGGGTTTTTAGCAACCATGAAGCAGCTGAAACTCCCCTGAGAACTACTACAGCTGTTCTTTCCTCTGTTTTGTATTTATGGCAAGGGTACGCAAATAAGAGGACAGCACGGTAAAACTGACTGAGCGAGCACTGATCTGCCTCAGGTTGGCATCTTCAGTCTTTGATGAAAGCACAATCTCAGTTGGAAATAAAGAAGTAATTACACGAATGGCTAGGCTGATACCACGTTTGAACTTTGTAATTAGCTGCAAGGATGCCAGAAATACTTGGAATACATTCAACATTTACTACAGCAACAGGTACTGTTACTTTCAACAGCTGTGATGACTATCTACAACTAACAATTCTGCTATTTCTAACAGCTGCAATTAACAATAATTCAATACTGGGTAAAATCAATAACACAAATTACCATATTCTTATGGTATGGGTATAGTGCCTCTAGTTATTTCCTTTTCATTCTAGGCCCATTTCAACAAACTGCTTAGGAGCTTTTTAGAGGGTACTGTGACCTCTGAATTCTCTTAGCATATCACAATTACTCACAAAAAGAGGATTTCAATTTTCCAGATTTAGCAATGCACCACAAGGCCCATTTGCCATCTTACATTCAACTATGGCCAATGCCAAAAAACCACATACTTTCGCACTGCTCCATTTATTGGCATGTCTGGAGTCTCACATTACAGCCCCATTCAGTGGTTGGAAGGTACTAAGCTAGATGCATGAAGGCATCAGCAGATCACCCTCACACTATTCAAGTGACAACAGAAACCTAGTATGCTTTGTATAACAATAAATTAGATCAGAAATGTATGCCTATGCAAGTCTTAATCTCTAGTGCATCTCAGACCTCAGAATTGCAAATAGACTATTTCTTTGGCATGCCTGGACAAAATGCTACCTATTTCACATTTAATTGGTTTTTCTGATCTGAAAATTAACTCCTATACTTCTCCCTGGTATCAGCCAAATAGCAACACCTGCAATTGAGGCTCACTTTGAGCATGCAGTTTTCAGTACATCGAAGCTTGCTGACATTTGAAGTGAGCAATCCTAGAGTATGGATTCTTAGGCGAGAGACAGTGCTCTGACCCTGGCACTTGGACTGAAGTGCCAATCTTAGTTCCCTCTCACGGGCACCGCAGCAGGAATCACAACATATAAAATAACAACAATGAAAGGCCTTCTGTGTGCACTCAGGACTTCCTTTTAATTTTTTTCTCCTTGCTTCTTCTTTCATACATGTGCTTTCCCCTCTGGTTTTGCCACATAAAGAATCATGCCAGCTCTCCAAGGTCAGGGAAACAATCCTTGAAGAGTGGTAAAAGGAGCATTCTAATGGAAGGAGATGGGAGGAGACTGGAGAGGCCAGGAAATGAGTTATACTAAAGCCTTTCCAGTCTCCTTCCTGCCCCCTCTGAAATATTCCAGCTAGATGACAAAAAAGCCTGTCCAGTGATATGGGAAGAAAGGGAAACAAAGATCCACCACTTGCTCTTTCTGTTTTGCACAGGATGACAGTAAACTTTTGAGTTCAGGAGCTGAGCTTGGGTAGCACAGTAGGATTGCACCCTAAATGACATCATGTACCTGCCCATGTTTTCCCCAATCTACTGTCGTTCTCTATAAGCAGTAACATAATTAAGTTAAACAAGGCAGTCTGCAACAGATAACTTTAGCAATAAAACTTGAGACAAAAATGAGCGACTGTTTTAGCAACCAGACATTCAGTGACCCTGGATCAGAGGATAGTCATTTCCAGTGCAGCCATTCAAGCTATACCGGAAAAACAATATTTGTGCCGTAAGGTGGAGGAACGGTTCTTGGTACATATCATGAAGGAGTGTTTCCAAACAGAAAAGTGCTGCTTTAGAGATAATGCAGTCTTGGGGGAGTTTGGTGGTTTTTGTTTAAAATGAAGATTAACATATATGCAATCTAATTTCTCAAGAGGCAAATTTTACAGTACAAACCTGTATACTTATATAATCTACCAAGCAGATTATAAAGCAGTGTGAAAACAACTTGAAAACAGTGCAGTGATTACTAGACGCTAACATGGGTTTCTCAAGAACAAATCCTGCCAGACTAATCTAATTTCATTTTTTGATTGGGTAACTTCCCTGATAGACTGTAGGAATGCTGTGGACATAATGTATCTTGACTTCAGCAAAGCTTTTGACAAACTCCCCCCCCCCCGATATCTTAATTAGCAAACTAGCTAAAAGTGGGCTAGATGGAACAACTTCAAGTGAATCCACAGTTAGCTACAGAACTGGATTCAAAGAGTATTCATCAAATGGCATGTTCTCAAACTGGGGAGAGGTAACCCTATGGGGAACCATAGGGTTCAGTCCTGGGCTCAGAGTTCATCAAAATTTTTATTCATGATTGGGATGGGGAAGTTCCAGGAACCCTTATCAGATGACACAAAACTGGGTGGGATACCTAATACCCTAAAAGACAGAAACAAATTCAAAGCTGTCTTGGGTTGGAGCACTGGGCTGAAAACAAGAGAATAAAATTCAACAGAGACAAACGGCAAGTTCTGCACCTAGTTAAAAAGAAACCAAATGCATTGTTACAAGTTGGGGAATACTTGGCTCAACAATACTGCAGGTGAGAAGTATCTTGGAATAGTTGTAGGTCACAAGCTGAATATGAGTCAACAATGGGATGTGGCTGCACAAAAGGCATATACTATTTTAGGCTGCATTAATAGAAGTATTACTATTATCTATACTATACAAGTATTCTATTATCACTTCCAAATCACATCAAGTACTCATTCCCCTTTATTCAGTACTCATCTGGAGTACTGCATCCAGTTCTGGGCACCAAAGTTTAAGAAAGATGCAGGCAAGCTGGAAAGCACTCAGAGGAGGGCAACAAGGACGATCCAGGGAACCAAGGTCTGTGAGGAGAGATTGAAAGAACTGGGCATGTTTAGCCTCAAGAAGACTGAGGGGAGATACGATAGTACTCTACAAGTACTTGAAAGGCTGTCACAAAGAGGAAGGACAAGATCTCTTCCTGATCATCCCAGAGTACAGGACATGGGCTCAAGTTACAGGAAGTCTGATTCTGGCTAGATATGAGGAAAAGTTTCCTGACTGTTAGAGCTGTACAGCAATGGAACGTATTACCTGGTGAGGTTGTGGGATCTCGCACATTAGAGGCATTCAAGATGCAACTGGACAGTCACTTGAGAGGGATGGTTTAACTTGGGGAATCCTGCAATGAGGCAGGGGTTGGACCTGATGGCCCTCTGGTCCCTTCCAACTCTACTATTCTATGATTTTATTTAAAGTGCTCCCAAAAGGAACCCCCAATGATAGTGCATATTACATGCACTCAGAAGATTCATGTACAGTTGTTCTTTCAGATGTCTTACTGCCTGAACGTCTGTTATAAACTAATACACACATTATCAAAATAAAGTTTACAATACATTTTTGAACCCTGAAGTAATTAATAGGAGAAGACTAGAAAAAAAGGGAAAGAACAAAGTACAAGTGTTCACATAGTCATATGATTATTCTTGGTTCAGTGACATCTTTTAGTATCTAGATTGGTAGGCTGAAACCTTGCTTGAGCTTCCTGCAAGGCAGGCAATTGGAAAAACAATTTCCTTCCTTCTGCATCACTTTTATATCACTTTAACCTTTTCAAACATGTAACTTTAGAAAAAAAATAGTTTTTGCCTAATTATTTTTCTTGGCTAGTTATTTAACAAATGCAAGGAAAACTCACTTTCTGAGGTGTTAAATATTCTACATGCAACCAACCCAATATTCACTTAATCTGTAGGTACATTTTAGAGGTGCAAATGTAAATGTCAATGGTATAATTTGTTAAAGGCTCCTGACAACCAGCAAGTAAAATCACCACAAGTTCTCACAATTCAAACCACTTTTACGTAAATGTGAGCTTTTCCTAAAACAGCTAAAAAGAGAGTTTTCCATTTAGGCTGAATGAAGCTTTTAGAGATACTCCTAGCCATGTCTTTTCCACTACTAGACTTTAGAAACTACTACAAATACTAGTCTTCTTTGACCTTGGTTTTTTTAAAAGGTGCTCCAAAATTCAATATGATCAAGTCCAATGACAGTCTCCTCATTTACCTGGTACAAATGTTGAAGCATGAAGAAAGTGACGTTTTTAGGAGTTTTACTTACCAGACATGAAGCTGAGCTACTAAAAACCAAGAGTTCAACGTGTCAGGCATCTGAAATGCTTTAAAAAAATGGAATTGTAAACATTTTTAATTGTAAACATATTTATGTTATTACTGTCATTTCTAATTTAAATACATTAACTGACAGGAGTCATACTCTCCCTGCCACCATGTACAAGCAGAAAGGCTTCCTGGGCACATTACATACTGGGGACAGAGAGGCATGATTTCTTTTACTCATAGCCCTGACACATCATGAGTCCTGTAACATCAATATCAGTTCAGCTTATTTCACAGAATCATAGAGTTGGAAGAGTCCTTGAAGATAATCTAATCCATTGGCCACACATATAAGAAATCAATATTGCTTACTGCCTAGTATTAATGCAATAGTTCTGCAGGACTCCACCATATCCCCCATGTTTTAAATCTACATGAAACCATTTAATGAAACATTTGGAGATTTGGGATGAAGTGCCATTAGTACACTGGTACACCTAGGTCTACTTCTCCTTTACATCAGGTTCAGGTGAGGCAGTTAAAGTGCTGTACTAGTGCTACAGTCAGTAATAAACCTGGTAATTTCAAGCGCAAGCCCGAAAAGACAGGTAAGTTCAGTTAATGGGTAGTTCATTTGAAAAAGGAAATTTATACAATCTGTCCTTGAGAAAGTTGTCCTCCCTTCAAAGAATGAATCTTATAACATGGGGGTGTTTACAGTTTCAGCACTGTCACTGAAGGGTCCACTGGTTAAGGCTAATCTCCCAAGTTGCAACTCTTCCTGGATAGAGATAGTTTGGCCACTCTTATTCAGAATACCCTTTCTAGCCTAATACATTCTCCTAATTCCCAGAGTCCTGAAGGTTAAACAAGCCCTGCTAGAGGGAGAAACAACCCTCAAAAAACAACAAGAGCATGAGGGTTATTTCTCTCTCCAGCAAACCTTGCTACTCAGGTAGGTAATAGGGTTGACAACATGCCAAGCAGCACCCAGGCAGGTAATTAGGCAAAAGCTCATTTAATCCTCAGTGACCATGTGAATCAGCTCAATGTGTTATACTACTTTTTTAAGACTTCTCAGGAACTTCTGTTTGTGCAGAACACAATTACTGGCCTAAAACTAGGGCTCCCTATAATGACATATATTGAGGGTTCTTAAATAACTGCAGTAACTGCTAGTTCATTTCCAAAGATGTTTCAAACTGTGGGTAATCATGTATACTAACTTAGGAAAGCAAAGCTATGGTCTCTGGGAGAGGATCCCAGAGACAAGGGTTACTCATAATATCTTCCTGAGGTTGGAGGGTGAGAGTGAACCTTTCCTTTCCTTTCCTTTCCTTTCCTTTCCTTTCCTTTCCTTTCCTTTCCATGTCACCAAAGGTTTCTAGGCAGTTTACCAAGATTTAAAATTTTGAAAATTCAGTATCATGAAACTATTACACACAAACTATTTACATACAGATACAGATATTTATCTAGCAAACATGAAGTTCTGATTCCACTCAGTGTTTGAATACTTCACATATTGTAAGATAGTTGGGCAACAAGTTACAGGAATGGCAATAGGACAGGGAATTCAGCGTATGAGTTTTATAAGTGAGGACTAATGTTTGCATACTTGGTGAGATTTTTAAAGAAACTGTTGATTGGATATGAATAACCTCTTTCTTCTCCTTTTCAATATGCAGTATGGGAGGGGTATATCATACTTCCTCACTGAAGGTAAGAATGAGTAGTCAAATATCCTAAATGTAGATATACACACAGGAGAAAAAGAGTAAGAATTTAGAGCTAAACCCAGCATTTCCTGGCCCTTTTACTTCTGTGATCATCTAGGATTCAGGATATTAAGGAAGGATATGGGAAGGAGAAAAAGAAAACTTACTGTTAAAGAATTCTTCATAGTCTGTTTTTTCCACACAACATGTGTACATGCGCAGTGCTGCTATTTTAATTTTCTGGAGAGGAAAAATGATTACTTTTAATATTCTAAGTAATGTTATGCCACTATTTTTTATCAGTCACAAAAACTTCTGCAATCAAAACTATGTTCTTAGAGGCTGCAACTTAATACATCACAATTCCCTCTTGAAGGCACACAACTTGGTGAAGAGGGTTGAAAGTGTTAGAGAAGCTGAGAACAAGGCCAGACTCTCTCCTCAGAAGGATCAACCAAGATGGAATAGTCAAAGTAAGGATACCAGACTAAGATGCATCCACTGTCTTCAGCAATAACAGCCACATCAGCAGAAGAAATGAGGCAGAGAAACTTCTGAAGGGCAGTTACTGGGCAGCAGTAGCAGCAGCTGAAAGCAAAACTGGTGAAGGTTCTTTTACAGACAATGGCAGAGATGCTCAAGCTAACTCTGGTAGGTACTGCACAGGAGAAGGCAATGGTGAACTACTGCTTACCTTGAAAACCCTATGATGAAACAATCCAAAAGGAAACAAGAGATAGTGTCAGAATATGAGACTCTCAGGTCAGAAGGCACTCAACCAGTTACTAAGGAAGAGCAAAGGACAAGTACGAATAGTGCTGTCACTAAGGATACAACTAGATTAAGGCTAAAAGGAAGTCAAGTGGCTAACATGCACAGAGATGAAAGGAAAGCCCAATGCTGCAAAACACATACAACTGGAACATGGAATGTGAGAAGTATGAATCAAGGCAGACTCAAAGCTGTAAAGCAAGAAGTAGAATGGGTAAACATCACAGTATCTAGTGTGAGCAAACTATAGTAAACTAGAATGAGACATTTTCAGTCAGACAAACCTAAGTGTTTCACTCCAGAAATGACAAGCTCAGAAGAAATGGAGTGGCTGTAATACTGAGGCAAGATGTGGCAAGGGAGTAAGGGGCTGTAATCCAAAATCTGACCTAATTATATCAATCAGAACTCTTGAAAAATCTATCAACATAACCATCACAAGTCAATGCTCCAACAACAGAAGCTGAAGAACAGGAAATAATCCTAGGTTACTGGAATGCTATAGTTGGAAACAAAGTAGAATCCAATGTTGTGGACCTAGGGATAAGAAATGAAGCAGGAGAATGACTCATAGAATTCTGTAAAACCAGTAATCTGATGACTGCAAATACAGATTTCCAGCAACAGATGAGAGGACTGTATACATGAACTTCCCCAGACGGCCAAAACAGAAATCAAATGGATTGTGCACTCTATCTTATTTCTGTACTGTCGCACAGCTGAAGCTCTCTGGAACTTGAAACAGTAAACAGTGAAACAGTATTTTCACTGTCCAAACAAGACCAAGAGTAGATTGTGGTGATGACATATACTCATGATGAAAAAGATCATTAACAGAAACACAGTGCTAAAGCACTCTTTAAATGCCAGAAGACAATTAAAGTAGCTAAAGAGAAACAGAAAGCCTGAATTGATGGCAGAAGAAAGACTCAAAATTGCAAAGGATAGGCAAGAAGCAAAAGCCAAATGTGACAGAAATAAGATTAGAATCCTAAGTGCAGCTTTTCCATAACTATCACATACAGACTAAAAGAAATATTACAATAGTCAGCACAAAGAAATAGGTGAGAACAGCAAAAGAGGATAAAAGTGACCTCTTCCAGAAAATCCAAGGAAAATTCTAAGCTATATTAGGAATACTGAAAGAAAAACAGAACATAATATATGACCAGGATAAAATAAAGAGAAGGTGGAAGCGATATATAAAAGAATTGTACAGAATAAATGAAAGTATGACAGACTCCTTCAAAGAGGAATCCTATGAGGAAGAGCCTGCAATATTAGAAAGTGAAGTGAAAGCTGCCCTGAAAGTGCTTAGAAGGACTAAAGTACCCAGAAGGACTAAAGCATCCAGAGAAGATAGGATACCAATAGAACCATTCTAAGCTGCAGAGACTGAATTGATTCAAATCCTAAAAAGAGCACACCAACAAATATGGAAAACAAGCCAATGGCCAACAGGCTGAAAACATTCAATACAAAGATGATGCAGAAGAGTGCAGCAACCATATGACCATTACACTAATTTTCCATGCAAGCGAAGAGATGTTCAAGGTATTGCAACAAAGAGTATTTCCCTATATGGTGCAAGAAATGCCTGGCATTCAAGTTTATTTATTTTTTTATTTGATTTGATTTGATTTTATTAAAACAAGTTGAATTCCAAAAAGGAAGAGGCGCTCAAATATTTGTTGGCTACTGGAGCACACCCAAGAATGTCAAAAGAACAGCCTACACTTGACAGACTATAGCAAAGCCTTTGACTAATGGATCACAAGAAGTGATGAACGGTCCTGAAAGAAACAGGTGTGCCTCAGCACTTGATTGTCCTGATGTGTATGTAACCTGTACCATGAATGAGAAGCTACTGTGGGGGCAGAATATGAAGGTGCAGAATCGCTTCCTACAGGAAAAGGCATCAGACAATGGTGTATTTTATCCCTCATCTGTTTAAATTGTATGCATAAGGAAAACTAGAATTGGAGGAAGAGGATCAGAAAGGTGGAGTGAACATTTGCAGAAGACACACCAATAATTTAAGATATGCAGATCATACCATATTACTGGCAGGAAGCAGCAGTGCACTGCAATGACTTCTGATGAAAGGAGAAAAAAGGAAGTACATAAGCAGGACTGCAGCTGAATATTAAGAAAACAAAAATCATGGCTACAGAAGGATTACAGAACTTTACTATTGATTATGAAGAAATTGTGAAGGATTTTGTATACCTTGGCTTAGTCATCAATTCAAAGGGAAACTGCAGCCAAAAAATTAAAAAATGACAGAGACTTGGAAGGGAAGCAATGAAGACATTAGAAAAGATCATCAAATGCAAGGATGTTTCACTGGAGACCAAGGCCAAGTTCATCTACACTATTGTATTCCTAATCACTATGTACTGGTGTGAAAGCTGGACAGTGTAGAAAGCCAACAGGAAGAAAATGGATGTGTTCAAAACATTGTGCTGGAGGACAGCTTTCAGAATACCCTTGACAGACAGAAGGATGGACAAGTGAGTCCTAGATCAAATAAATACAGAGCTTTCCCTAGAAGCAAAAATGAGACCATAATACTTGGGTCACATCATAAGAAGCCAAAACTCCTTGGAGAAGGCAATCATACTAGGGAGAGTCAAAGGCAGAAGACAAAAAGGAAGATCTACTATGGGATTGCTCAAATCCATGAAAGAAGTCACAGACCTGAATGTAGAAGAGCTGAGCAGGGATGTCATGGATAGGACATTTTAGAGGGCTTTCATTCATAGGGTCACCGTAAGTCAGAAATGACTTGACAGCACATAACAACTGGATGGAGCTTCAAATTAGTCAAGGATGGGAAAGATTATATGAGATGATTCCCCAACCTAATTCCCTTCAGATATTTAGAACTTTAGATCCTATTCCTCCTGATCACTTCCATGCTGCCTGGAGCTCACAGGAGTTGAAGTCCAAAGCATCCAAACTATCAAGTTGAGGAAGGCTGCTATAGGAGGTCTTCTGACCACCTTCTGAATCACTTAGGTATCTACAGCAAGAGTGGACAAATAACACAAATGAGTTTTCCCCTTGCTTTCAATTAATTGCATCTTATACAACAGGAGAGGGCAACTGCCCCTTATAATTAGCAATGCTGGCTGGGAATAATGGGAGGTGTAGAATAAAACATAAAAAATTGATGATGCAACTTCAGTAAATACACACACAATGAAAAAAATTAAGCAACTGCTATATCTAGACCTCAGCTCTGCTCCCTACCTAATCACTCTACAGAACTAGTTTAGCAAACAGACATTTAGCAGATGACATTCTCAAAAACACTTTTCTTTCAATGGTGTTTTGAGCAAATTATTTATTGTGTTTATAAGAATGTCTGTTTAATAGATTTTATGTTTATGATGTAATTTTATTAATTTGGCCTCTCTTATCCCAGAGTAAATTAATTTTCAGAGACTGTAAGCTCACTGGGAGCAGAATTATTCCATTTAGCAAAATTTCTATAAGATACTCTGGGCTGAGTAGAATAGGAAAGTTGTTTTTTTTTTTAACCAAATGTTTAGTAATGCCACCAGAAGATGTGGACAGAGTATCCAGTATCCACCCATGCATACCCAAGCTTGTAGTTGTTTTGATCTCAAAGTGCTACAATCATATGCAACTGAACTGCAATTGCATGCATGCCTAGCTGGGAGTAAGTTCTGCTGAATTAGTTTAGTAGTGACTAGGCATGTGTAAGACTGTGCTATAACGGACATTAAACAGCTCCTTGTAAGCAAGAGTTAGAACTAGTTTATGTCAATGGTCTCCCCCAATTTAGAGCAAATGAAAAGCAACAAGTCTACTATGAGGAAATATTTACCCATTTCTTATATTTCAATGGTCCTGTGAAACCCATTGCTTCTATTATTCTAGTGAATGCGCCAACTTTCTCTTCTGATGGCTGCGGGGAATCTTTGGCTGTAAACAACTACAAACAAAAACAAAGGTAAGTTACAGGAACCACATCTTAATACCCAGGTTTCTGCAAGTTAAACTCAACTCTATGGGCTGTTTCACACATTTTTCTAGATTGGCTGTACTTTCCCCCCTTTCTCTTCCCAAAGTTGGGCAAGATACAGCGATTATGCCTTACTGAAATACATGCATAATACTTGACCAGAGCATACAAATATGAAATCTGATGTATACAGACCATGCAGTCGGGACGCATCTTTTTTAGAGTTTATGTATACTCTGTTCAAGTGCATGCATGTATACCCTATTCAGATGTTACAATTATGCATAGACCTGCACCAGTCTTAAAGATGGAATAAGGTCCATCTAATGGAAATGGAAGACTCAGTCTCACTCCTTCACTGCATGTAGGGAAAAATCAGGGAAAGCTTTATTGAACTGAAACAGCAAAAGAGTGTATTCTGACATCTTTAGCTTTTAATTATTCTTAAGCCTTCAAGAATAATATGAAATACCAATGAAAATGGGAGGCTATCAAAAGTTAAGAACATAGCTTGCCACAATTAACTCTCCATTCAGATAGGTGGTTAAACAAATCAAAGAAAGAAGAAAAGCTACCTGGACAATTTTTGTTTCAAAAGAACTTCTAAAGTAAATCACATACAAGCAATGAGTCCCATTCCTGTTCGGCTCTATTAATATAGCGGGCCTGGTTTTCCACTCTAATTAATCAGCTAGTTTATATCTGCTCAGGCTAGAGGCAGCCAACATATAGTTGGCAACTTCAAGGGAGAGAGAGAAAATCACAGAAGATGCATGCAGTATGAATAAGAGAATCTCTCAAATACATGGCTCAACATATCAATAAATTTAAGTCAGTTTTGTGATTGCGGTTTAAATCTATTATCATAAGTCTGAAATGAGCAAGAAGGCTTTACTTGTACAGTTCTTTACATGGTTATTCATACTGTTTGAAAGGCAAGCATTTTAAGTTATCATTATGTTATCTACTAATAAGAGTATACCAGTACTTTATAATTCAGAACTAGGTTCATTTTGCATGTATGCGTTTTAATAGGGTTTGACAGTTTATATCAGGAATAGGCAACTTTGGAGGATCTGGGGCTCATTTGGCCTATTCTGTGACAGTCTCCACCACCATTTTGGCGAGGCAGCAAGGAAAAATCAAATCTATGGTTGGTGGGAAATGTTAGTGACAGACCACTTCCATATAGTGAAAGGATAAAACGCAGTTTATTCCCAAGCTAAGTTTTACTCTTCTTGCATTCTGAAGAGGCTCTGTAACTCTAAACAGGTCAAATGTGGTTCCAGAAAAAGATAAATTTAACCTCTAAGAACAGTCTATAGCACTAGCACTGCATTCAAAAAAGAATGCTGTTCTTAAATTTGCCAGTATAGTAGGGGCCATGTATACTGTGCAGGAAGACTTGTCTATCCCAATTTACAGAAGGCTGTAAAAGCTCTCCTATAATGGGAGAATTGACTTTTGTATAAGCTGTAAACCATTCTGAACTATTCCCATCTCTAAAATGGAAAAATGTTTTAAAAACCAAAAAAATTCTTAAAAGCACAGAATATTCAGATAGACAAGAAAGGAAGAAACTAATTCCTTGCCACCCGTGGACAAATAGTTAAAGAATATGCAGCTAAGTTTACTTGATAATGCATTCTGCAATAAACAGATTTTTAAAAAGCATATGTACATAACTCCTTTAATAGCAAGCCTACTACAGTTTTAAATGATCAATGCTTGAATAATGGAGATCTTTAGTAGCCAAGACATCCCAATAGTCTGTTGGCCATTCAAGGTTAGTAGTTTCAGGGCTGCTATTTCAGAAAAAAAGTGAGGTAGTAGGAGAACATGGCATGACAAGATTCAGAAGGGCCCAATCGCCTACTTTGGGATATATTCAAGGTTAAACTGAAAAGAGCAATGTATATTAAAAGCATTTTTGCAATACCCCCGAAGGGGGGAGAGCCTAATGCAGGATAATCACGTCTTTTAAGTAGCAAATGCTGTATCTGGTTTGTATACATAGCACATAAGCCTATTTACTTACTCTTTAAACAGGAACAATCTATGCTGGAACAGCAGACTAACCAGGCACTCCTAAGGAATAATTACCTGTGGTCTAAAATCCTAAGACAGAAGAAATGAAACACTGTCCACCCCCGCTCTCCCCAAATGGTACTCCTAAACTGTTTCTAAAGTTGGAAGTATTTTGATAACTGTTTCTACTGTTATATATGTTAATGGACATACTGGACAAAAAGTTTCCAGTAATTTGAGCATTCCAGTAGCTCTCCTGCCACTGCAGAATATGTGGAGGACTGGTGCTGGCTAAAATGGTAATACAGCTGCCTGGAATGGCTGCTGTTCAAACCACTTACAAAGTATATATATGAAGTGCCCTGTCCCTGCCCATAGTGTTCCCTTTTGCTGCGAAGTTAGTCCATGGATGCATCTCTCTCTTGAAGAAGCCAAGTAGTCTTCAGCAGTCATCAAGGACACTGGCTGGATGGCCCCCACACTAGAGGGCTTCCTAATGAAGATCCAACAACAACAAAACAGCCCTTTAAAAATAATTAAACTGCAGCAGTAGCCTCTGCAATTAGGCATGTATCGCCTTTGTTTATTCCCCATAGCAATTTCTAATAAGCTGCATTTGTACATGTGAACTCTGCATAAGAAATGATACAGGAGCCATCAAATTGTACAAAGCTTCTTCTAAGTAGCTACCAAAATGGAGACCCACTTTCACTTTACCATTTAATTTTTGCTTCTGCAAAGAGAGCAGGCATCTGTGAAAAGACCTTTGTGTAATATTGGTCAAAAAAAACAAAGCCAGAAGCATGGGGAGCTAAAGAAACCCAAACTATGGGATTCACTAGCTGATATCTTTAAAAGGCTAATATATAAGCATCTGGACAAGTTCAACATTACTGTACATTAAACTATGAAGCCTCTGCTAATGTAACAGTTTGTTCATTTGAATTATACTTATGGTGTAATATGCCAGCCTCTTTTTGGTGACATGAAGTAATTTTGTCATCAATGTCTCGCATCACAGTTAAGAGAGGAAGCTGACACATCCAAAACAAATGTCTTTAAAGCTGTCTTGTGACATATGCTTTTGCTGAGGCTACTTTGTGCTTTCCAAATAGCGTTACCAGATTTTTTTTCTGTCTTGGCTATTCTTATTGTACACCTGTAAACAGCCACTTACATAACCTTTAGAGAGAAAGAATTCTAAGCAACCAGACATGAAAGACAGTCAGTGAGAGAATCTGCTCCTTCTCTCCAAGTGATAATTAGCAAAATGGTAACCATTTTGGTGGTCTAATATCATTTGAAGATTACCTTGCAAGGCTTTTGCATGACTTGTTTTGTACTTAGAGGGGTTCTGTAACATGTCATGATAGGTGGAAGGAATGGAGAAAGTCACTCCAAGTGTAGCTACTCCCTAACAGGCCAAAGGCACTGATATTGCTACTTCATGTACACAATCCTGGCAGCTTCCAGAGCAAGGATAGCCTGCTAATGCTCTGAAATACCACTCTTCCTAATGCTTTGAAATACAACTCTCACTGGCTGGAACTGATGGGAGTTATAGTCCAACAACATCAGGAAGGTACCAGGTTGTTTACCTTGGCTCCAGCACACAGTAGCCGCCACCAACAAAGGACTTAGTAGCCTAGGGATCTAATTTCCTCCTATTCTAAAGGAAAACCTGACTTTTGACAAGCCATTTCCTGAGCACTTGCACTTGGATGCTATGGTGGTTCCAACAATAATGCAGACATTTTGTGAGGAACAAAGGCAGGAGGAAGAAAGAATGTCTAATTTTTAAAGCAACTGTCCCATTGACAGGCACTGAGTTCTGAAGCTACAGTTTATCTACTGATTATGCACTTAGAGAGGGAAGTCAGGGTAGTCACCTCTCACACAATGGTTTTGCATGCCGTGGTAGTAGCGCTTATGTCCATACATGCCCTCTCACCCCTTGAGATCGGTGGCAGAGGCCCTTCTCCAGGAGCCCTCCGTGAAGGACATTAGGAGGGTGAGTACTCGGAGGAGGGCTTTCTCTGCGGTGGCGCCCAACCTATGGAATGCGCTCCCCAGAGAGGTCCGCCTGGCGCTGCCATTATTTGCTTTTCGGCCAAGACCTTTTTATTCAAATGTTATTTTAATTGTTGATTCTATTTATTGAGTTTAACAACTTTGGCCAGGATGTCTCCATGTGTATTTTATTGTATAAATTATATTTATTTATTTGTAAGCCATCCCGAGGCTTAGGCAAATGGGGCAGCATATAAGTTTGCTAAATAAATAAATAATAAATAGTAGACAGTTAGCTTGCCTTGGGAATGAGCACATGAGCATATACACTCAACAAACACGGAAGCCACTAACTGGGTTAAAGTTCTCCATACTATCACCTCAGTCAGGTTTATAGAGGAACTATTCCTAGGTTTCCATTATTGCCTGTAGGTCATTCTTTAGTCTATGCTGAAATCTTGCTATCCAAAGTTTTCAAGTAAGGTAGTATCAAATTATGATTCTTTTTGCAATCGTCCCTATTTATCTACATCTTTCATGAAACAAGGAAGAATGTCCAAGATTCAAGGGAGTGCCAGTTAAGTTTCTTTTAAAAAAGAAGACCTAGATTGGTTAAATGACTAAGACTTTCACTTGCCTCTACAATTTTTTGCTTTACATAGCTTGATGTGGTACAAAAAGCAATGTATACCCTTCCATTTTTCTTAGTGCTTTCTTGTCTATCACCAATGGAGTCTAGACAGGTTATCCATTAAGTATGAAAAATCAAATGGATAGATAAAATGCACTCTATGGCTGGTGGTGTCTGAGATATCACAGACTGTGGTAACCTGTATTTATTTTGACTATTAATGCGTTAAAGTCATGAAATGCCATTTTTATTCATTCATGTTAATGGCAAGACATGATTTTTGCTGTAGCTTTAATTCAATTATTGCTTTTAGTAATTCCCTATTAGTCACTTTTTCTTCTTGAGCCCCCATGCCATGCTCTCTTTTCTCTCAACACCACATTATCTGCTAAGACTTCCTTCTTGTTTCATTCTTCTTTTTCAGTGCCCCGTAGAACAGCCTCTTCTAGCTTTACTCCCTCACCTTCAGAAATATCACGTCTCACATTACCCAGAACATCCATTTTTCTCTCCGCATTCCATTATATTAACTGATTTTCCTTTAGTCATTTTGTTGTTGTTGTTATTCTGGTTATTTTCCAACTGATCTTACTGAGTATGGCATCAATAGTCCATTCACAAGTGGACCATGCCACACAGTTGATTATCACCAGCTGAAAGAACTAGAGCCATTTCTATTATATACCCTCTGAGTAAAACAGTATTCTCAAATTCCACCTGCAGTTGAATTTCCCAACAAAGAAGTGAGAAAGTAATAGCCAATGGGTATTCAGAATTCCTCAAGGAAACAAACATGATCCACAGGTCTTAGGTTGTGTTGGCCTGGTTCTGAATGCAGCGAATAAAGACCACAAAAACTGAAGCAATTTTCAGGGAAAACAAAGAATTGCTTAATATATGAGCCTATGAAATAGTAAAATAAATACCTGTTAGTATACCAGTTGCACTTCAGAAAGCTCTCAGCTGAAATTAGCAAGTTCATTTTCTACTTTTAAAAGTTACTGATATGTGCATTCTGATAGTGTTTTTAATTAAAAACTACAGTATAACAAGTGGCCACATGTCTAAAGTGCTAATTCACTCCTTAATATTTTGGCTAATGGTCATTGATTTTTTTCCTATGGTTTTATCTGTATCTTTATAACAGTCTGCCAGCTGCAAGCATCACTTTCTCAGTTTATGCTGAGATTCAGTGTTTTTCTTACATAATACGGTATTAAGGACTGCATGTTTAATTCAGCTGAAACCTGTTAATGACCCCAAAAATCTTAGTCCCCAATAGGATTACAGTCCTGGTCGAACATGGTCAAACATCATCATTGTAACACAAAACATCACTTTGTTCTCACCTTCTTTGTATGATGAAGTGTTCTATTGGACTGTTTTATTGTACCAGTGGTTTGTATTAATTCACAGCACACTCTGGTAAGTTGTGACCGACCATTCTTATGTTTCTGATAGGACAACAAAAAGGTTATCAGTGATAGTGTGAAAGTGCTAATACAAAAGGATAGTAGTGGATCATTAAGTTAAAACATGATTCAGGCACACCAATCACACACTGGTGTTATCCTGTGGTACAAGTTTAGATCAGAGAGCCCTGCAAGTCTCATACATATAAGCACAGCACCCATTTGCCTGGGGATAAAGAAAATTAACACAAATACACACGGCAATAGTTAAGATTACTTGGCCGCATAACAAACACTACAAGATCCTTTTCCATACACAAAGATGATGATCAGTATTTTCAGCTACTGATCCTTAACTTTTTCCTACAAATGTTTTCAGTGCTCAGTGTTTTTTCAGCTACGTTTCAGAACATTGTAAAAAAAAAAAAATCCTCCACAGCAGGCATCTAGATGAGCAGGCACAGCCATCACATTTCAGGATCTTTATACTTTCTGCTCAAGATTTACTTAAGTCACTCAATGGCAGATGGGGAACCTCAGTAAGCGATAACAAAGCTGTCTTCATGCTGAATTCAAGGAAACCTATCCAGAAAGTCCACTTTTAGGGAAATTTACAAAAAAGATCATCTGGGCAAAACTGAATAATCTGCACTTCTTAAGATCCTTTGAATCAAGATAGATTCTCTATATGTTTCAGTGCATTGTATCACCTGTGATATGTTTATTATTTACCTTTTTTCCAACTTCTGAACTTATATCAGACTTTTCAAAATCTTTGGACTCATGGTCTTAAACAATTGTTCAGCAGCCACACAGCTATCCAATAGGTTATTTATCTGACAATCCATTTTGCCAGATGCTGGTTTTGAATGGAAACCATGAAACAAAGGAAAGTAGCAAGCAAAAGAGAATATGTTGCTCCATCAATTGCACAGCCGGTCTTTAACATACTTGAAGGAACAATTCTGCATGGTGTATATACTTGGCCCTGAGGAATGATAAGGACTGATGCAACAAATGACATCCGGTTCAAATGTGTAAATGCATCAGTCATGGAAGACAGGCAGTGCAATTCTTTCAATGTTTCCAAAACACAGCTTAACCCCAAGATAAGTTTTGACAAGGTTCTCATTCTTGCAGCTGAAAAAATATCCTACCTGGAGAGTGCCATGGAGCATCCTGCCCCACTGTGGTTGAGCGAATGTATTTTGTATCAATCCGCTACATATTGCAATCCACCGAGGTACTCCAGCTGGGTGCTTCTAGAAAAAAGAAAGGAAATAAAGGAGAATATATACTAATAGGGATCTTGCTTTTTTAACTTCATATACCTCTCTCCCTGAATTTCATGTTTGAATCATTCAGTGAAAAGAGATGTGCTTCCATCTTTATGAATTTTGAATGTTCTTAGCAAGGTTCAAAAGTGTGACTTTTAGAATTTTTAACTGTAACCTAAATTATTTATTACATTACATGCCTATCCCACACTTTTCCCTCTTACAAGGAACCAAGAAAGCTTACAAGGTTCTCCTCCTTTTCATTTTCCATACAAAAACAACCCTGTGAGATAGGTTGAGAGTCAGCTACTGGCTCATAGTCACTCAATGAACTTCACAGATTAGTGAGAACTAGAACCCAGATCTCCTCAGTCCCAGTCCAACACTTTTAACCATTATACCACACTGGCTCTCATCCAATTATTAACTAACATCAAGTTAGTAACATTTCAAAGTTATAAGAGATAGAATGGGCATACAATGTTCACATTTTTTAAGTTTTTTGTTCACAAGTCTTCACTAATCTAATCTCAAAATATGCATTTCTTCTGCTGCTGAGTGATGCTTCACACATAACAATACTGAATATGGGTTGAGTATAGTTTGTCATTGAATTGTGAGTTGTCATTACATGCAAACACTGCACTATGACTTAACTATAGGCTGTTAACTACAAGCAAATCAGGAAGGGAATGCATGGTTTGTTGCAGGGATGTGAACTCCAAGTTGTTCAAGGTTAACAACTCATAGTTAAACCAGAATGCAGGGTTGATCCAGAAAAACCCATGGTTCAGGCAACAACCCACACATTCAGCAAAAACACAGAAACTTGGTTTCCATGTAACATGACTTATTTAAATCATGGTTTGTTGCTCTTGGGGGAAGCGGGTGGCACAGTGGTTTAAACCGCTGAGCCACTGGACTTGTCGATCAAAAGGTTGGCAGTTTGAATCTATGTGATAGGGTAATCTCCCATTGCTCTGTCCCAGCTCCTGCCAACATAGCAGTTCAAAAGCAGATAAATAGGTACCATTTTGGTGGGAAAGTAACAGTGTTCCGTGCACCTTGGCATTTAGTCATGCCAGCCACATGACCATGGAAACTGTCTGCAGACAAATGCTGCCTCCCTTGGCTAAGAAAATAAGCACTTCCCCCTACATTTGAACACAATTGGACTTAATGTCATGGGGAAACCTTTACCTTTGTTATTCTACCCAGTATTTATCTGGCGGATGATTAAATCAACCATAGCTTCTTTTTTTCAGATCCCAGACTGTATCCCTACTTTTTCACCCACTTTGTCCTTGAATTCCAACTACCTTTGTGGTACTGCAGTACTGACTTGTAAAGAGGTTAGCTTTTTTGACTGGTTTTTGCCACTGCCTCTGTAGTCCAACAAGCTAACCAATGTGTCAGGATCAGAGTCTGAGTGATCCTGCAAGTGCCTGTAGAATCAAGAACACTTATGCAGGTGCTTGCTGGGGACCAATTAAGCACTGCAGCTGGAGGTCCTGAAAACTAGCATAAAAGGCTTCATTGCACTACTACTCCTTGCCACAGCAACTTGAACTGTCCTGGGGACTCCCTTGTGCTCTGGTTTCCTTCATTGCCTTTCCTCTGGAGCTTGACCTTTGCATTACACTCTTGAATTGTGCAATCTTGAACTCTGTTTGGATCTCTCATCTTACTGGATTTTGACTCTGGGCTGTTAAACAAATGTGTTTTTTGCCTCTGGCCCTCTGAACCTGCTGCAAAACTCCACTCTCCACCCGAGTCCTGGTATCTTGACCATAGGTGCTTGCTGCCTATGCCTTGGACCTTATACAAAGAACAACTTATAGTTGTGGTTACACATGTAAACCCATGATATAAACAACCAGTGTTCACAACCCAATAAGCCATAGGGTTTCCCCCTTATGGTCGTTTGTGGTTAACAACCCATCATTAACTCTGCTTTGTACATAATAACCCATAACTCAACAAACCATGCTTAAGTCATGGTTTGCCATTATGTGAAACTGAAGTCAACTCATACTTCTGGTTGTTCCCACATGAAAACTATGTCACAGCTTTCAACTGGATACAAAAATGCTATTTTCATCTACACCTGTACACTTGTACAGATCACCACTGAAGCACCCACACAATGTATCATTTCTGTATCTGATATTATCCCAACTAAGCTATCCCATAGAAAGAAACTTCATCCTGAATTCATTTGTCATCAGGATAAGTTCACAAAGCTTACAGAAAGATTCTTCAGAGGTTCCTGGTTCTCTTAACATTAGAGGGACAAAGAAGCCTTATCAGAAGGGCAAGAAAATCAGCACAAAAGTATAAAATAGTAGTATTATCACAAAGGCTGCACAGTGATAAGAACCATATATGCTTTGGAAAGAAAAGCATCTGTACCAAAAGACCTTTTGGGATTCGGCACTACTATTGCTAAAAGCCTCTTTAGAGCTTGAGCCAAAATATCCTGCAGCAGAAAACTAAGTATGAAGGTTTAGCTACAATTACAAGGATACAAAAGTAAACAAGAAAAGGTGCCCATATGAAAAGACCCACTGTCATTAGTTATAATATTAGAAAACATGTACATGGAACATTCTACAGAATTGATAGAACTAAGTGAGGAAATGATAATTGGCTCCAGGTGACCCAGTTTTGCTAAATTATTCCTTGCCCCCAGGCATTGTGTGTCATGGCACATCTTGTTCGCTATTACTCTCTTATATAATTATATTACACATTACATAATCTGGGTAACACGGCTTAACATGAACACGCAGGCTAAATAAATCAACTTTCATATCTTTCCAACCTTTACAAACTAAAGGGGCTGTAAACAGAACATTACAATATGTAGTCATAAATTGCTACTAGTTTGCAAGCAGAAGGCAAGAAAAGCTAGATTCTAACCTCTTGTTCTATAGATTTAAGTAATACAAATATAGAGACCCAGTGAGACATCAACAAACTTTAAAAAATTGTAGCAGTCTTGGTGCATAAGAAATCTTCTGTAAGGAGTTCTGAGTCCTCCACCCTACTAATATTTTAAATAACAAAATGAAAATGTCAGCACTAATTTGTATGACAGCTCTAAATAAGTCACTTAAGATCTAATTAAACGACGGGGCAGTAGCCTGCAGTTCAACAGTTTAAGTTACTTTACAAACTGTTCAATGGTCTGGGAGATGCGGAGGGCTTGGTTTTAGCAAGAAGAGAAACTACTGTATTATTTCTCCATCAGCAAGGTCTGTTCCACCGCCAAAACGTCCAAGGGCAAAGATTGCGACAGCGACCCAAAAGTCCAGAGAGAGGGGGAGTTGCTCGGGAATGGCTTTCGCTTCCTCCCGGGTGCTTCCCACCACAAACCGAGCGGCAGGGTACAGGGACGACACCCCTTAGTACCAAGCCAACCCTGCTTTCTCCTTGACCGGCTCCGATTGTGAGCCTCCGCTCTAGCCTCTAGCCACAAAGCCTGACAAGGGAGGCGACTGGGAACGGGGCCGTCCGTCCCCTGGATCCTGCTCGCTGCAGTAACGGAACCAACCCGCTAACTGTACAAAAGCAGCACCCGGAGACGGTGGTCAACCCCACTTACCACGACTCTCACCAGCGCCGCCATAATTCTTCAAGGACGCGCGCTTCCGCTTCCGCGGAACATCAAAGTACTTCCGTTCTTTCGTCCTCCGCCGGGAAGTCCGAAAAGGTCCTTTGCGAGTCAGAGAGTTTTGCCCTGGTGGAGTGAGGGCCGTGGGGAGCGTTGTAGGGCTTCCCTCGCAGATGTCTGGCAGCCGAGATCGTGTCTTGCGGGCGCCTCCGTGCGCGGTTGGAACCGCACGGGGAGCAAGCGTGAGGCTGGGGCGAGCACGCCGTGCGTGTTTGTGGGGATGGTAGGAGACGGTCGGTTTCCTTAGGGAGAGGTTTTTGCGGGAGGAAGGAAGGGGTCTTCTTCTGTTCTTGGGCTTCTTGAACTTGTTCTTGGTGCCTACCTCGATAGCCCCGCAACACGTAATACTCATAAGGAGGTCGATGCCTTCAAGAATGTGCAGAGTGTATCTTTTTTTCCACCAGTCAGTAAACACGACCCAGGTCTCTCCCGTCTGGGGTAGGCCGGCTGGGCCTAGACTCAGCTAAGTTGGCACTTTTGGTTTTGTTGTGTTTTTGGGTGCTGTGCTCTTAACAGCAGAATTAGTTCAAGACATTTGCTTGAAGATGGCACACCTCCCTCATTCTAAAAGCAACTAGACTGGCAGCGCTTCAGTATTGAGTGTAGACATCCAATGTATAGAACAGGTTATGTGACACACACCAATCTGTTATCCAACACCTCACTGATGCACCAGTACCTGTAGCCGCATTCTGCCTAATGATAGGACAGCCCTACTTAGCATCCCAACTCAGAGATAGTTACCAGGTGAGGCGTTTTCTTCTACTTATCCAGAAAAAAACTTCACATCCTCATGCTGCTGTTCAAGACATGGAGGATGAGGGTTAAAGTAATCTAGCAGCCATAGGATTGCACCAACATCATGGAAATAATAGCTCCACTCTACTCTGCACTAGCCAGACTTCATCTCAAATAATGGTCCATTCTGGACACCACAGTTTAAGAAGGATTCAGACAAATTGGAATGTGTTTAGAGAAGGGCAGCAAAGATAATCAGCAGACTAGAAAGTTATGAGGAAAGACTGAAGGAACTTGGTATGTTGGCCTTGACAACAGAAGACTGGGGGATAAGATAGTGTTTTTCAAGTACCTAAGAGTTGCCACACAGAAGAGAACTGCAATCTATTCTTTATCATCCAAGACTGTGTGACATAAAACAATGGGCTTAAATTACAGAAGGACTAATTTTGGCTGAACATCACGAAAAACTGCCTAATGGTCAGAGCAGTCAAACAATGGGACCAGCTGCTTAGTGGGGGTCTTTATCTCTGGAAGCATTCAAGCAAAGACTGGACAGCCACCTGTCAGGAATGCATAAAATGGATTCCAGCTCTAGTAAGGGGGCTGGCCCTTTCCAACTCTGCTATGAAATGGAACACATTTGGTTGTGCAGACATAGTTACTATAACTACAAAATATTTCCATGTACCCTGTCTTCCTACCAAAAATAACATTCAGGGTGTCTTACCATAACTAATCAAACTTGAGGAAAACAACAATAAGCAAATACATCACAAAAACAAGGTAAAAATAGAATCTTATATAAAAATGACATTTTTTGTTCTGTTGACTAGAGCCCTGTATCTTTTCAATACCTAGCACCACACCTAATGTTATCACCAAATGCTCCTCTGAAGGTGGTGTTCTTGAGGGAAGAGCCCCACCAGAATATCTTAACCAGACAGGTTCTATGTGAGAAGGCCGTCTTTCAGAGATTCAGGTTCCAAGCCATTTAGGGTTTTATAGGTCATAAACCAGGACTTTGAATTCTACTTGGAAAAAAACTGGTAGCCAATGAAACTGCTGTAACAAGGGGCCAGGTGCTCATAGTAGCAGCCTCAGTCAATAGTCTGATTGTACCATTCTGGAACAGATCAAAATTTCTGAATAGTTTTTTGAAGGAAGCACCACATTGTTGTTCAGTTGCAAAGTGATGTCTGACTTCGCAACCCTATGGGCAACATTCCTCCAGGTTCTCCTAGTAAAACAGTACAGTTCTGGATTCTCCTCAAAAATGTAAACTGACTTAAAGTTAATAAGGTGAGAATATTTTGGGAGAACAAGTCATATGAAAGCTATTCTATATAAGAACAGCAGTATAAGCAACATATAAGTGCAAAGAAAAAGCAAATGAATAGATCACAATTCCCTAGAACCTCTTACACTTTCCACCTCTCCCCCACATCTGCATTTTCTCCTGACACTTGCTCTTATTTTCCAATCCTAACTGGTCTCTCCCATCTAAGATTAATTATGGAAGATTACAATTCAAGGGTGCTTCCAGATGGAGGGCCCCTAGTGTTACCACTGGAAAGGTATTGTGCAATTACTCCGTATTTTCCTTCACAAACGATGGAAGAAGTAGTGAGAACATGAGAGGGTCGCAAGTGAAATGTCACATTGCGTTGGCTTCCTAGAAAATTCCATGGAGAAGGAAGATTAGGGAGCCATTAAAATCTTATCTGAAAGAAACACCATGCTCTATTTGTCTTGACTATATTACCTCAGGCATAGCTCAGTCTACTTAGAAGATTTCTCCATCTATGAATTTGTGATGCTACTTGAATTATCATTCCCTCCCTTTGCAGACTCTTCCTGGTTGAACATTTCATGCCTTGAGTAGTACAAATGTTTGTGAACATTCCATGACATTATACCAACTTATTCAGTAGTTACTGCCAGATGTTTTTTGAAAAGAAAAGAAAATGAATGTATAATTTTTAAAAATTACAATATATTTGAATGTATCAGTATATGTATGAAATGTATATGAGTTTATATGAAAATAAACATTTCTAAGAACTATACATAAACTTCAAAAAGTTTCATTTTCAGGCTATTACAAGAATATACACTTATTGCAATCCTAATTAATACAGTTAGTGGATTTAATGTATTTGATACCACAAGCACATCCATAAGTGCAACTTCTATGATCTAGTGGTTTGGTTTTACTTGTGGTCTACCCTCTTGAGGACAACTGCAGATCATGAAAGTTGCAGAGTGCTTTGGGGGTTTAAGCATGTTTTACTGATAGTTGCTTTGTTTTTATTTGCTATAATGCTTTCCGCTATGCAGTTGTGCCTTGTTGCTTGTTCTGTGATCTCAGTTCTAGTTTGTGGCTTCTCCACAAGCTAGTTATTGATCATTCAATTGCTACACTGGACAAGACTGCACTTTCTGCCAATCCAGTCTGCTTTTATACTGTTGGGACTTCCTTTCACAGTTCTGAAGCCAAAATCAACCCACAGTACAACTTTCCTGCCTTCCGTATGGCTTGTTGTAACCATCTGTTTTCTATCAATCATGCCAAGTTTTTTTCCTTTCCTTTTCTAGCCCATGCAGTCAAGGTAATAAATTGCTTGATGTTCTTGTTCTTGCTTTCATTTCAAGTTATACCCTTCCTATACTTCATGGCCAGAGTGTTTGTAAATACAATTAAAGCAAATTCCTCACATGTTTGTTAAAAGCATGTCCTTGAAAGATGATGGATTCAAAAGCATTTCTGCAGGCTCCTAGGAGAGTTTCAGCTGGCACGACTGCCACTTTGGTCAAAGCCTTGATCTCTAATAAATATGAACTAAGTTGTAGATAAGATAGCTCCTAAGCATTATATCTCACTGAATAAAGATCAGTTGGCTACTTTGTACTTTGGGAAACAGGAGACAGTGAAACTGTTGAGATGAAATCTGCACTGCAAGTGGAGGAAGCCACGGATCAACTTTGACCAAGCACAGGCTGCAGTATACCTTAGAGCTTACTTTGTGGTGAGGATGTCAAAGACAGGATTCTTTTGTGCCACCATTGCTTTTTTTAACACAGCTATTTTGGATTATAAGGGTCTTCATGGGGAGGAGTAATCTTGGGGAAATTTGGTGGTCCACAGTGACTTGCCACTTGCAAATTTCTTAGCTTAAACTTCCTTTTCAATACAGTATAGAATTCACCCAAGGAACTTGCACATCATTGTCTGGATGCATCTCAGCCATTGCAGCCTGAAGATAATGGACCAGATACTTGAAGGAATTTGGTGCACTACCTGCCTGCCTTAATTTTGGCCCCTCCTGATGGGTCTGATTGTCTCTATTGAGAAAGTGATGATAAATTCTTTAAAAGATGGAGTAGTGCTGGTGTCTTGTGTGGCCATTCTTTTAAAAAAGCAAACCTTCCTGGATCCTGTATGATTGATTGAACAATTGCTTATCTTCCTATCGGGGAAATGTGCTCAAGCTGATGGCGGATCACATTCCAAGCATTATTGGATGATATTGATTATCTAGATTTAACCTGGCTTTTGACCATGGCTCAGTAATGAAACAACTTTGGGCATCCTAATATCAGACTTGTACATTTGATAACTCCCTCAATATTTAAGTTTCATATCTGAATGTTACTGTAATTAATGATGCTATCATTCTGATTGTATCCAAATAGGTTTAACTGTGTTGAAAGTTCTAACAATCCTAATGAGACCTGGGGTTGCACCATACATTATAGGAAAAATCATTTCACACCTGCTAATTGCATGCTGTATGTACTGTGGGAAACACATGTAAACATGTGATGAAGGTATAACAAGGTGCTTTGTCATTCACATTTCCTGGGCATGTGCTACCATGTGTAATTAGTCTTCCCTCCACATAGTAAAGGATATAATCCTGTGCATGCTTATTTAAAAATAAATCCTTCTATCATCGATTTTTCCATATGGAGAGGAGGATGGGGCACTGAAGCCTTTTAGTTCTTCTGAACTTTTCAGTGGCTGTTAGCATTACCAGTCGTCATGAGCATCCTTCTTGACCATATGCCTAGGATTGGCATTTGGGGCACTATACTCTGCTGCTTCCATTCCTGCTTGGCACATTGGTTCTAGAAATTGATACTGAAGGACTACTGTTCTGCCCTGTGTCGCTTGTGCTATGGAGTTGCACAAGGCTCTTTTTGCCCTTTCATTCTGTTAAATATCTGCATGAAACTCCTGAATAACATTATCCAGGGATCTGAGGCG